TTCTCACCAGTGTGAATTCTATGGTGTTGGTTAAGGCTTGAAGAACATGTAAAACCTTTGCCACATTCTTTACATTTGTAGGGTTTCTCTCCAGTATGAATTCTATGGTGTTTATAGAGTGTTGAGCGAACATTAAAGGCCTTGCCACATTCATCACATTTGTAAAGTTTTTCTCCAGGATTAATTGTATGGTGTTGACTAAGAAGTGAGTTCGAAGGAAAGGTCTTGCCACATTCGTTAAATTTATAAGGTTTTATTCCTGTTGAGTAAAGGTGGAAGGATCAGTAAATGATTAACCATACAACTCTAATTATAAAGCTTATCTTTCATATAGATACTTACACCTCTAGATACAAATCTTAATGCAATGTATTCTCATATAATTCCATAACTGTATTCAGTATTAGTAAAAAGTATATAACAAATGAAACAACACTAATTTCCAGTGAACAACAATGGAACATTATTTAACAATTTGAAAGTAAGTGTTCTAAAGCCAGTAAAACGGCTCTGTGGATGAAGGCACCTGATTCCCAGGGATCCACATGGTAGAAGGAGCAAATTGAATCCTAAAAGTTGCCTTCCGTCATTCATATGAACTAGAAGCCCTCAGGACACAACACATACACATGCACATGCACACACACATTCACACTCACACATTCAACATAGTCAACATGTAATATTTATGATAAGAATAACTCTTAAGGAAAATATGCTAAATGAAGTATACTCATTACATACAACAGATATCTCATTAGAAATACAAGAAAATTCTAAAATAGAAAAACTTGTAGAACACAAATTTGAATGGTGACTAGAAGGATGAACAAAAATATATACAATAATTTTCATAAGAATATGTTTTTGTTTTGAAAGTTAAAGTATTTCTGAAAGATTTGTGGCATTACAATTTCAATGTATAGAACAATGCCCAAATATTTAAGATAATATATTTCATGTTATATGTTTTTTAATCTCAGTTAAAAAAAAACAAAAAAAACAAAAACCTAAAGGCTATTGAATGATTTAAAAATTTTCAAGTTTACCTTTAAATCCCAGAAGTGTCAGTAGAGGTAACATACTTATCAATTGTTTATGAAATTATAATAACTTCTGGAAATATTCATTTAGCGGGATAAAAAACTTATTAAGTTACAAATAAAGAACAAAAATACAGAGCATGAATATATAGAATTAACATTTAACACATAAAGAACATCAATTTTTTTACTAATAGCCATACAGAAATTTATTTTAAAGAAAATCTTTAACATGCATATAATTTTACCACTATTAAAGACTAAAACAAACTTGCATACTATTGAGATGTTTGCACTTGTTTATTTTTACAAAATATAAAATCTTGTGTGGGAAGCCAGACCAATTCAAGACTTTCTTAGAAACCCTAATGAAAGGAAAAAGGGGACATTAGTTCTGTGTACTTGTCCAGTAGTGAACTTGGCATGGCCTGACTCGGGCCTCCTCACAGGAATCAAAGTTGTGGTTTCTAGGGACCTGACACTTCCCCCTGGGGTGCTGTTATCAGCTCTTGGGCAGCTGTATCTGAGGCATTTCCAGTAAGAACACCAATTTTATTAGCCCTAGTCGCAGGCTTGTAAATATTTTATTATCCTACACTGTCCTAAAGAGCCACTACTAAACACTGTCATCCAGTCACACTGTAGAAGTTACCTCTACGGACATTACCTACAGATATGAGGGAGCTTTCAAAAGAAGACACAGAAAATGGAATTGCAAATTCAGAAAAATTCTGAAACAAAATTGGCGAGCTACTAAAAATACTCTTCTACTTGTGTATAAGTTTTTGCTATCATATATCCACAAAGACAATGCATTATAAAACACTAACAATCAGTGTATGGCAGAAAATGTCACAGAAATATATTATAATAATTCATAGAGCAATCTAATGATATAGTTTTAATTACTGAGGATGTAAATGTAACTAGAGAAACTTATTTGTAGGTTATATGAAGGTTTACAAAATAGGTCATTAGAACTATGAACAATTTTTGAGGCATAGAAAGCAGTAAGTTCGTAATGATCTTGACCCTAACCTACAAAAGGACACATTATAGTCAGTGTAAATGCCTGCAGCTATCACCAGAGAGGAAGGACAGATAATAAGGAAATAAAAGAATGATAAACATTTGTCAGAAAATGTCTTACTTTGAGAGATAATAAATACAGTACTCTAAAACACCGTCCCCCAAAACAGAGCCTCTAAGCCATCCAGATTTTGATGTCTGCCTTTCTGTGGCATCTCTTGACCTCTTACTTCTGTGCTCTGATCTACTCATTCCCACATACCTGGGTATGGAGCTACTGTTGCCGGTCCCTTCATATTCCGGGGCTCTTTACTTTGCTCAAGAAATGTGATCAAGTATGGCTTAGAGAAACTAAGACCTGTTAGAAGGAAAGACAAACATGATGATTGTATGTTGTTCTCCAGAAATAACATTTCTGTATCACTACTGTGTTTATAAAGAAAGAGGGAATACAATAAAAGATGGCAGAATATTTCTTTATATTTTTCCTGATAGATATATTCTATACTTGGAGCTTTCCCTCAAGAAGAAAAAAAATTAAAGCTGAAGAGTAACATATTTTACTTTAAGATGTATGCTCCATACTTGATGTCTCTCAGTTTCTAAAATTCCAAGTAGAAAGAAGGTGTCACACTACCAAAACAACAAGAACTATAATTAACTTCATCAGCTACAGCTACAACTCTCCATTTCCCTTAAGAGTAGGAATCTGACTTTGTGAAAGAAGTTTGGAGACTTTCCTTCTCTACTTTCTGGAATAATTTGAAAAATATTACTTTTAGTTCTTCTTTAAAAGTTTGGTAGAGAGCTGGTGAGATGGCTCAGAGGTTAAGAACACTGGCTGTTCTTCCAAAGGTCCTAAGTTCAATTCCCACAACCACATGATGGTTCACAACCATCTATAATGAAATGAGATCTGATGCCCTCTTCTGGTATACAGGCAGAACACTGTATAAATAAAAAAAGTCTTTAAAAAAAAAAAGTTTGGTAGAAATATGAAGGAAATCCATCTGGACATGGGCTTTTAAAATTGGGAGGTTTTTTAATTACAATTTTAATTTCATTGTAGATCTGCTTAAATTATTTATCTCACATTGACTTAATTTTATTAGCACATATTATAGTGATGTCAAAACCAATAAAGGCACACAAAAAAAAGAGAGAAAGGAAATGATCACCCACTATATCTGATGAACATAGATGCAAAATTTCTCAATATTTGCAAGAACATATTACAATGATCATAGACATCATCTGAACTTCATCCCTCACATGCAGGTAGAGTCCAGCATACATAAATCAATAACTTTACTCCATAAAATAATTTGCACAAGAAATTTACTATACAATATAATTTACTACATAAATAGACTCAAGAAATGATGTAACTATGCCAATAAGTACCACTATTTGCAAAAAATTTAACTATTTTTATAAAAGACACCAGGGACTCCACCAGAAAACAAGTACAGCTGAAAAAACATTTCCAGCAAAATGGCACATACAAACAAATATCAGCAAAAATCAGCTGTCTTCTTATCTACCAGAAACAAACATACTGAGAAAGAAATTCCCACTCACCAAACCTATCCCTGACCCAAAGAAAAAGAAAACAGGACACCTTAGAAGAATAAATCTAACCCAGGAAATACAATAACTCTGCAAACTGAAGGATAAAGCGAAAAGAAAGAAATTGAAGAAAATACTGGAAGATGGAAAGACTCCTCATGCTTATGGATTGATGGAATTAATATTGTAAAAAAAAAAAAAAGGCCATTCTACTAAAAGCAATCTACATATTCTATGCAATAAAAATTCTAGTCCCATTCTTCACCCATACACAAAAATTTTATTGTAAAATTCAAATAAAAGCATAAAAGAGCCTCAACAACCAACATACTACTGACCAAAAAGAATACCATAGGAAAGGTAACCACACCTGAGTTTAAGTCCTACTATGGAGTCATAGTAATGACAACAGTATACAGTGACACAAAAACAGACACACAGAGAGATGAAATAGACTAGTGTACCTAGATATAACTCCACCAAACTACAGCCAACTAATGTTAGCCAAACATTCCAGAAATTCACATTAAAAAAGGGCTCTCCATAAACAGTATGAGAATAATTAGCTATCTATATGTATAGGAATAAAACTAAATAAAATCAACTCTAAAATGGACTAAGGGTCTCAATGCAAAACCAGAAAGCCTGGAGTACGTAAGAGAAGAACAGGACACTTCAATACAGGAATGAGTAAGTTCGTTCTGAATAGGACTCTGGTTACTGAAAAAGTAAGGTCAACAACTGAAGAACTAGATCTTAAGAAATTAAAATACCTTCTGAATAGCAAAGGAAACTGTCAACTGAATAAATGTGGCATGGTTTTATTATGTGGTAAGCAATTACTCATGCCTGGTGCTATAAAACTTGTGCTATAAAAACTGGTACTATAAAAAAAAAGCCTGTGGCAAGAGAGGTCCTAGGCCCTACAGCTGTTGTTTTACAATACGCACATGATGTCAAACTGACTTGTAAATGTTTGTATTTATACACATTGATTTGTGTTGTTCTCATTGCTAATCAGAGCAGCTGTGGCTTGCAGTGGTAATACCTGATGCCAAAACTCATAACTGGCCAAAGTACGTACTATGGAAAGGTAACTACGGGGTGATCAGCCTCAAAGAGGCATCTGCAACAATCCTTCCAAGGTTCAGTAAACAGCATGGAAGAGGGGCTGGAAAAACAATCTAAGAGTTGGAGCACTGAAAAGAGGACTGTTGAGAACTCTCTTCTAGATAGTACATGGCTACTGTACATAGAAATTTAAAGCAGCAAAGATCACTTGCACAAGACCTCCATCAGACAGGGTCTATCAACATTCCATCATGACTGGGGCAGGGGGCTCATAATGCCCCACCACTCCTCCGGAGCTCAACATTGTTAACGGCTGTGAGGGGAAAGAAAACACTTCTGGGTGGTCTAGCCCCCTGATAAGTTGTCATGCTTAAGTAAACACCGCCTACCCATTCTCATGTAGCCAAACATTACCCATATATAATGGACCAGAGGAAAAAAATAGATGAAAGGCAGGGACTTCATGGGTTGAAGAAACAGGTCAGTGGAAAGAGTCAGAGGATAATGTATAGTCAATGTACATTACATATATGAGTAAAATTATGAAACAATTGTTGTAACACAAGAATCTAAGTTATTGTTGGAAAGCACAAGCTCCTGTGAGATATTCTATAAATGGAGGAAGTTACATGTTTATAGTGCATTAAGAATTCATAATGGAAGTGATTCTCACCCAGGAATACAAGATTGCTGTAATTCTCCAACATCACATCCCTGTACAAATTCCACTGGGCAAGGTCCAGACATTCACACTCCTCTGCAGAGAAATCAATGGCCACATCTGTGAAGGAGAGCAGTCCCTAAAATAAAAATAAATGAACAGTATATGTTAATTTAGGTAAGTAGTGTTACTTAGAGCTTAATATCAATACATAACTAAATAAGTGTGGTTGGAAACATTTTTTAATTTTACACAAGATGAAAGAAGAGTAGTATAATGAATGAGATATTTTTATACACTATATTAAACCTTATCTTTTTTCAAGGGAAGAGAATGGCATATGCCCTAATGAACCCATATGGATATTATATTTCATAATATACAAAATAGAATAACAATATGTATTTCATGGACTGTGCTGGTGTCATATACATTTCTCACAGGAGGGCGTTACACTGAGTTAGAGTGACACTTCCCAACTGCTACATATGAAATGACAATGCACATTCTGATGCAGTAGCCCCTGGGTAAGACCTGGGTCTCAAAACATGTACCCTCTCCTCTAACAGGCACTCTCTTCTTCGTGTACTGTCATTTACCTCAGTAAATGACAGTACACGAAGACACATTTGTTTGAGTATGCAAGGCGGCAACAATAAAGGAAGAATTCACAAAGAAAAAGGAACAGGAAGATTTTTAACAAACGTATACATTTGAAAAGTCTAAGTACAATGCCTTTTAAATGTTTAAAATATGTTAGGAATCATTTTGAATTTTTCTTTTCATTTTCTTCTTCCCCTCCTCATCTTGCCCCTTTTAGACAAGCATTCATGAATTTGCTGGAGAGATAAGCAAAGGCTCAAAGAGGGTTGTGTACAGAAGTCCCTAGATTCTTCATGACTGGCAAGTCACCTATTTCCCACTATAAATTAAACTGGGGGTGGGGGCCACGTGAACCCACAGTGGGGGGACTGGCCTGGAGCAAGATGGGGTCAAGATGAGTGCAAACCCCAATAATCTCAATCTTGAAATGGACAGGGCTAAGGATTGCTCCCTCCCAGTTCTGGACCTGCAGGTCTCAATCATGTAGTCTTGTGACACACACATCGGCCACTCTTGAGGCAGTCATGTAGCCTGAGGGCTAGGTATCAGGTTTCCTCAGAAGGACAGGTCCAGCTAGCACCTGGAATTCCTCTCCATGCAAATAAACATTCACAGCACTCTAGCCCCAGCCAATGATGTTCACTCACACCAAAAACCTCTACCTACTTCCCCAAGGTTTATATAGCCCTCATGCCCCCACAATAAAAAGAGTTGTGTCAGTGGGAGAGCTGTGTCATTGAAAGGGCTGTCTCCCTGAAAGAGACAGGTATCAATCAGAGAAGGTATCACCCTACCCTCCTGGTACTCACTGCCAGACCAAGACCCTACTAACCCAGCCGCCTGGCTAAGCTTCATCCTTTGATTCCAGCATCTGTCAGTGTCAGTGTCTGGATGTACTGAAGGGAAGAAGTACGACCTGACCTCAGGAATAGCAGTGAACCTAAGGCTAAACTAAAACATCATTAGCACCAAATACTCTAAAACTGACTGGGAGGAGAACCTGATCCCTCTGAATCAACACTGAGATCTCACCATCTCAGAGTACCTACCATGTCATCCACAACTCCAAACATCTCAACTATAAAAACAGTGTAAAACAAAGGGAATACAAGGTCAGATGTTTACCTCTATGGAATCCACCTTAATCATGCTGTTTGGAAATATTTCTGTTTCATGTTGTGCTGATGATGTTAATGCAGTTAATGTACACAGACCTCTAAATCACTGAATAGATGTGTTCAACATGAGAAACTGTAGAAGTTTGAATGAGAATGGCCCCTAGAGGTTCTAATGTCTAAACACCCAGTCCCCAGGTGGTTTTCCTGCCCCCACCCTCTCTGTCTTGTGGTTGTGTCTCGTGCTGTTAGTTCTCAGCTACTGCTGCAGCACCATGCTCATCTGACTGCTGCCATGCTCCCTACCATGATGGTCATGGACTCTAACCTTCTGTCTAACCTTCTGAAACGTAAGCTCCAAACACACTCTTTCTCCTACAAGCTGTCATGGTCATGGTGTCTTATCACAGCCACAAAAAAGTAACTAAGACCCAAATTCAGAGACAGCTGAATTTGAGTGAGACAGTAAGAGATTCAAGCCAGGCCAGGAGTTCTAATCCTAGCACACATTCTCATCTCGACAGCTCACAACAGACTGGATGTCCACTCCCCTGAGACATATAGTACATTCATACCCATGTTTCCCTCGTGTTTTGTGGTTTGGAGTAGAATTTTTTTTTTTTTTCATTTTTAGGGTACCATACAAAATCATAGGTTTC